CCCCCCCCCCCCCCTGCCACAGGCGCTGCGGGATGAGTTACCGTCAGCCTTCTTGCTCAACACCGTGGTGGGTGCCCACAGCTCGGGCGAGGTCATCCTTCAAAACTACAACACTCTGTTTACTCTGAACAAGCTTGCCAAATGCTCGGACGGGGTCCTGGTGCGTTCTTGGTCCTCAATGACAATATTTCATCAATGATCTTGGTCCCTTGACAGTAGTACATCAGTGATCAGACATTAAAATTGTATAATATCTTGCGATGCGGGGAAGCACCCGCTGACCGTTGTTTCCCAATCGCTGCGTGCTCATATTCTGGAAAAATTACCCGATAATTGAATGCGCCCCGGCGTGTGCACTTAAGGCGTGCACCCACGCCCTTGACAGGACGAAAATACCCGCATGCAGGAGGATACACGATGGAATGCCCTCAGCCTCGAACTCATGACCTGCTCTACTTTACAACTGCTCCACAGATCCTTTAACCGGCAACCAGATGATCCACACTTTGAGCAATCCTGGTACTCTTGAACAATAGATTTCTGCTTTGGTAGGCGCATGAAACCGGCTAGACACCTCAACGCTACCCCTACCCCTAACCCCAAACCCACACGATAGGTGGTTGGTCGGCGCTGGGTAGCAATGTTCTTGGTTGATGTGCCGGTATTGGCGCAAAGTTGGTGTTGATGGGATAATCTCTAGTTGGTAGGTTGGTGGTGCGTGGAGTAGGCCTAGGTTGCTCTTGGGTGGTAAAGGGTAGTAAAGGCGGACTGCCACGTGTGTGCATGGTGTAGGTACACACCCCTGAGTGTATCGAATGTGCTTCTAACAATTATCGAGTCTTCCATGGGAATCGGGGGTTGTCTGGTGCAGGTCTTGACTCTAGCACACTCGCCATCAAAGGGCTCAAGACGACCGCAATACCGCCAAGCTCCCCCCCCATGCCGAATCCGTTCTTGTGCGCCTTGCCTGACCTTCATTCAGCGTGATTCTCTCCCGAAGCATGAACTATAGACCATAGTACGAGCAGAAGCAGAGCAAGAGAAAGCAGAGCCGTGCCCCGATGAGGAAAAGCGCCTCAATTTATTTGCATACAGCAAACACTCCGGCTGTTCCTCCCCTCCGTTGACTTGACATTCAAAGGTGGTTGAAAACGATGCGGCGACAGCTGTGTGCCGGAAGCTCCTCCGACTGGAGCGTCCTTCCCACACGGACTTGAACGAGGTCATATGCAGCAGCCTGGTGGGTGCTCTCACTCCGACGACGACGGCGACGACTGCGCCTGCCGCGTCCGCATCGGCGATGGGAACCGGGGTTGGACAGGGAGGAGGGGGAGAGGGAGGTAACAGGGTTTAGACCACGCAACATTGTTATGCCACATATATGCCGTCCCTGTGTCCAGCCCGGAACCAGCCTCGACACCGCTTCACGCCAAAGAGCAGATGAAGGTTTTTTTCTGTGTACATGTTCCCGGAGAAAGCGCTGAAACTACCGGACAACCAAACGCGATGCAGGAGAGAGGTATGTTCCGCTAAATCAGTCCCTCGTCCTGGCCCCGGATTGCCTCATTTTTTGTTACAGGGGGCATGTCGTTGCACCTCGGAGACAAACTGGCTCACCTGTGCCCGAACAAGGACTTCGTTTTCCTGAGGGCCTCTATGGTGCCGCAGGTAACACAGTTTTGTGTTGCATGCACGAAAGGTCGTTTCATCGTAGACCATCTTTGTCAGCGAGACCAGTAGCCACACAATTGAGGCGCACTACTTCTGCTGCTGCGGGGTAACTGCTATGGTAGGTGTTACACTTGGGGGCAACCTCTATGTCCGCCTTGGCAAGGCTTGCTCTTCGTTTTAGCACTACCGCCGCACATGCCAGTGTCAGGAATCGACAGCGTTTGAGGGGTCACGAGGCGAACGAATTGGTGAGTAGTTTTCCCGCCGGACGAAACCACACGAACCGTGAACGTTGATTATCCTGGCCTGCTCTTGATACAGTAGGACCGGAGCAGTCATCAGCACACCTACCTAATTCCGATGCTTAGGTCGCGCGCCTCCCCGTGTTGTGTGTGTGCCCGCCACGGACGTTGCGCGAAGATACCGGAGGGATCCAGAGCGTTCACGAGAAACACGTGGGAAGCGCTGACGCGAAGGGCATACCAGATGCACATCACGGGCTCTCCGGCAGAGCTAGACTTGGACTGGCGCAAGAAAGCTTTCTACGGGGCCGGGTCAGGCGAGTCCAAGTGGTCCGCAAGTGGTGGCTTGTCCGTCACTTTTCCTTTTCGCTCACTACGTCTCGTTGTCGTCCTCGCTGCCTTTGTTGTTTCCCACTTGATGGCTGCCCCCGTTTTGATTTATTCTTCCAACGCAGAACTTGCTGTGCGTGCTGGTCACATCATCCTCCTGAGGTTCTCGCTTTCGACGTTGTTTGCAGGCGGGGATGAGTTGTTTTTTTACCTTGTAGACGTACAGCATTTCCCATCAACCCAACACCGCTGTACGCCTTGAACCGCGTTTTTTTTTTCCCTTTCATCATGTTCGTTCGGTCGTTCGCGAGAATATCAGCGATGTTCTTCGACAGACTAACGTGGTCGTTCGGTTTCCCCTCGTAGCCCTTCGACTACTGCTGGTGGTTCCATTTCCCCTTTAACACCACATCTACCGCAGCAACAAAATAGGTTGTGATTTGTAGGCGATTTGAAGGTAGCCGATCTCAACGGCCCGAAGTGGCTCAAATCTCCAAAGTGAGGATGACACAACCATTACGTGATCAACGCGCGGTCTACGGTGCCAGCAAGAATGTTTTAATGTTTTGCATTTGGGGACGACACACATGTTCGGAGGTTTACCAAGTTAACTATTCCGGTTGGTCACAAAATGATGGATGGCTCGCCGGCCTGTATTGTATGCGAATAAAGAACATGGGCCGAGGCATGATTCGGTCCCACGTCGCGATCTGGTCAAACTGTCGCGTAGCCCATTACACCACCAGCAGACCACTTCTTGCGAACAGTATGTGATCTTCCCGTTCTAAATTAGTCCAAAGGGCCCGGCTGCTCTTGTTTTTGTTTACCCATTCAGCGCAGAGAGGAAGCGAGAGACAGAGAGAGGTAGCAGAGGAAGCCTAAAGATGGGGCGTCTTCTCGGACTGCATCAGCGCTCACTTTTTTTTGCATATTCTCGCCAGTTGAACGTGCCTGTGGGCTCGGCGTGCAACTCCTGTTTGGTGGGTTATAAGGTGTCTCCGTTTGCACGCAGAATTCTCTCTGCCTGCGCCCAGGGAAACTATAATCTGAACTTAAATGGTTTCGAACAAATTCAAGCGAATACGCAATTGTTCTCTCGACGTGTGCGTGCACGAAACAGGCGTGGGCCTGAACCAGTCGGTCGCGTCCCTCCTGACGTTTCACGGGACCCCAGTGGGAGGAAGCGGAGCAACGCAACCGCCACCGCCACCGCCAGAATGCTTCAGGAGTCGTGGATTGTGAGAAGCGGCAACTTGGTCCTCTTGAAACGGGCACTGACTCCATGCGCCCTGTGTTGTGGTAGCTAATTTTTGCTCTTTTTGGTAACATGCAGCGATCAATCACATCATGCGGCCGCGGCTGCCCCCCTTGGCCCTTCCACGTGGTAGCTCTTTTATGTTCTGGGGTACCCCCCCGCCCCTTGTAGCCCTTTTCCTCCCGTCCACGCTGGATTGTGTTGTTGATCGATATGGTCGGGGCTTGGGTCCCAACGCCGTTCATGTCGAATGCTGCCAAAGTCCTTCACCTTGTTGTGCAGGACGTCTAGGTTCAGTCGGTGTGTACCTTACGCTGTTTGATATGCTGTGCAGCGACGAGCCCACCAAGTTCTTGGAGAAGTTTTACCGTCTGCGGAATGGTTCCCCTTACTGCCTATGCACATGGCAGACAACGTTCGAAGCACCCGCAAGGTTAGTGACGACTCTAATCAGAACTTGGAATGGTGCTTTTTCTCAAACGGGACGATACGTGACCAACCTTCACACAACCGGAAGCAAACAGCAAGTACGCATGCGTCCTGTTCTCACCCGCCTCACGCACTCCTCCGGCCCGTCGTTCTCGTGTAGGTACGCGGGTTGGTCCCCGACGCCGTTGATGGAATGCCGGTCCCCGCTTCGACTCCACGGCCACGAGCGAGCCATCTCGCTTCTCTCAAACTCCCAGGTGTGAGAAGCCGTGCCCTCATGTACGGCCGCCTCCAAACGGGTCTCAGAATATTAAAGTTATTGCGCCGAGATAAGAGACACTGTGCCGACCCCCTACTCCGGCGGGACGGCACGTTTGCCAAACGTAGCAGGGATGGAAAGGGGCTACCGTCACCATATTCTTTCGTCGTTGTGTATGGCCGATAAGACTGAAGCGGCCAAACTCTGACGGTTGCCACGTCGAAACAAAGGCATTGTATTTGCCAGTGGTCGGCTGAGTACAGGCGAGCAACAGCCCCTCCCGCTCAAACGGCATTCCCGATCCTGTTCTCGAGGCAACCAGGGGAGGATTGACACACCGAACAGCACGTTGTCTAAACTACCCTACGAACCGTCGGTAGTAATTGCGTTGGTAGCCGCTGGCGGAATTGTTACATCAGAATTATGGAAGGAGGGACGATGGGAGGATGCTGGGAGCGTGTGTAAATAGACCATTTCGAATGTAAGCAGAGCTACCAATAAGCATAACCTCCGCAATCGTGAGCACCAAACTTTTTTTTTTTGTTTGCCTGCCGTCCGTGGCCGTGCAGGCGGTGCTTGGGGTGCTGGAGACGGCCGTCGGGAGGTCGCGCGACATGTTCTCGGCGGGCGCCTACGTGCACCAGTACGCCCAGTTCGGCGCCGAACGTGGCGACTTCGAAGAGGCTTTCCTGGGCGTGGAGCAGGCGGTAGAGAACTACCGGAGCCTCGGGTAGTGGTGCTGGTGCTCCGAGGTGCCCACCGTAGCGTTTGAAGGTGCCCACCCCTCCCTGTGGAAAGGTCGACGTGCTTGCACATATTAATGTTGTTTGGAGGTATATTCTTCCCCCAAAGAAGGCTCCTGTCAAAGGGGGATGGGTTGGAGAAAACAAAAGGCACAGTCGAGAAACAAGCTCACGTCGTGTTGGGGGTTGGTCGGTGGCTAGGGAGCACTGAGGGGTCGCGGCGTTGGATGGTGCGTGTGTTTCGCTGTTGCTGTTGTTGTGTTGTCTTCGAATAAATATACGTCGGAGTCGGTATCCAGCTCACCTCTTACTCCGTTTGTTGTGTGAATATGATTTTTGTCCGACTCTTTGAGGCACCTGGTATTGTTCGGCCACTCAAGGTGTAGTCTAGCACATGTGCGCGAGAGCCGCGCATAGACTCATCTGCCCTGTTGAGTGGTAATATGTGTGTCTGGATGATAGGGATGATGGGACCGATCGTTAAAGGAACTCTACACGTGGAGGATGTGTTTTCGACTCCCGACCACGTCGTCTCCATTCGTTGCTGGTGGATGCGGCAGATGCAGGAATACTCAAGCTGCTGTTGTTTTGCAGGATTAGAGCAGGAAATACGCAAGTTCCGTCCACACCCCCGAGTGGGGATCGCTTAGGGGAGAGGGCGTCGTCAACCAACCGTGTGGGCGTGTGCGATCGAGTAGCAGAGGACGCGGTAGTTTCCGCGGCCCGTGCGTCTGATCGGATGTTCGACAGATCAAACCCTCTAGAAATAGGGCTCGGTTTCTTGTGAACACATTTGCGGTTGAAGCTTGTGTGACGAAAGTGTAGACTAGTGCATGTAAATTTGTCTCCACGCGACATGAAGTTTAGATTTAGTTCAAGCTGGAAGGTTGTGGTGTCGTTCCCACCCTAAATCGGGATGGCGGTGGGGGAACGGCGTGTGCGAACCCGGTTCGGGCAGGAAGGATTTTTTCCGTGTCAGCAGTGGTTGTCGTGATGTGGACCAGTTGTTGGTTTGACGTTTTGGGTACTTGATCAGGCATTGTTCACCTGCTCAGGAAACGACAAATTGTACTTCTAGTGGCAGAAATCGACATCAATGTGTGTGAGCTCATTTGTTTTTTCCTTCCTGGTCCAAGCGTGCGTGAGTGTGAACCATAAATGAGTTTATTACTTAGAAGTAGAAAGTAAACAAACCTCGCAGAAAGACACTGCCCGTTCGAGATATAACCGCAGTCGAATGGGTGTGTTGAAGTATTTTCAGTACGTGGATTGAAACCGACTGGAAACTAGCCTTATTTTGAGTATGTACACTGAATCATCAGTGATGCCAGTTGGTGCTCAGAACAAAAGCATCCCTTGTAGTTCTCTACTGAGTCGATGACAGAACTATCGGGGAGAAGCTCTCCGTTGTGTCGTGTGTTATAGAATATGTCCTTCACAGGGAACACGGCGCATTTACGTCGTACTGTTTTGTTGAGCAATATATTGAATCTCCCGTAGACGTCGGAGTTTTCCCCCCGGGGAGGCGATCGTTTTTTTTTTCTGAAACCAATCCCCTCGGCGGGAAATTGACGTACCGGGGGGGCTCGTTTCTTTTTTTCCAACGCTACCCCGGGGGGAGGAAGCCTCCCCCCCGGGGGGATTGTGCAAAATAATGATGGTCCAGACACCACACACACATAAGAGTGGCGAAACTGAGATAAATGAGGTTTATGAGCAAGCGTTCAACAAGCAGACGGAGGAGGAACGCAAGAGCAACGAAGGCGAAAAGAAAAGACAGCAACAAGGGCCCGCTTTCCAGCCACAAATTGGAACATGTAAATCTCGCTCGAAGTGCAGATCTGCAAATGAATTTTCCGTCTCGTATCATGCTTCTTTTGTGCTCCGCGATGCAACAAATTCGACGAAAATATGGAAAATACATTCCCCCGGGGGGAACTTGTGCGAAAAAAGGTACTTCGGGGGGAACTTGAAATACCCGGGGGGATATTTTTTTGGGTCGAAAACGATCTACCCCGGGGCTAAATCAAAGAAACCATGCTTCCAGGCCGAAAAGGTAATGTGTGGGGGGGGGGAACTCTACTAGGGGGGGGGAAACTCCGACGTTTACGGTAGATTACAGCAGTAGTACCGCAGGTCCAGCGGCTGCTGTAAAGTTTGTTCTTCGTTTCATGCGATGAAGTGATTCTCAAGCAACCCACACCTTAAGTTTGAACTTCGCGCTCGAGGGCCAACCCGTGCGGCGTACAACTTCTTGGTGGTATATCTACCTTCCCATGCTCTCCTCGAGCCTCTTTGAAGGAAAAGTCCCATGCTTTCATATGCTTGTGCATCGGGGCGGCGGCTTCCCTCAGCCCTTGCGAGTCGGAAAAGAGGGGCGTCCCCGCCCCCCTCCAGTCTCTTCACAACAACTGCATAATATGTAAAACTCCCTAATTCCACCGCACTTTATAGACCTCTCGCCTCTCGCCTGCGAGGTCGGTAACCTTGACTTTGGCGCCACTTTCTCTGCCTGCAGCACTCCAGAAAACGCTTCCAGCGGTGTGGGTGAGGACCTGATCAGGTTAAGATAGGCGAGGTGTCTTTTCTTCCAGCAAAGGTACCGAGGATGCTGACAATATACTGCTGTTCTGTGTTGTTTTTCGCCAGCTCAGAGCAGATCTCTCCTTCAATGTTTTATTGTGCTGACAACATACCAGTTTGCAGGTTTGGTTGTGTTCGTTCTCTCCCAAGTGCACACCTTGCTCCACATGCGGTACATCCATATTGCGAAGTGTCGTATCTGCACATTTGATAGTCGGAGTGCTGTGATTGCTGTGTCAATTGCGCGATGATGCTGGTGCTCTTGAACGCTGCTGGTAATTCGGCTGTCTAAAAGCATTGCGGTCTCAGCAGCATTTGCCACATCGTCACATTTGCCGATGCATGCGATGCATGGTACCATGTGCTTGGGCGGCACCGTCCATCGGATAGCCAGTGCTGTCGTAGCTGGTTGAGGTCTGTACAAGTCGTGTGTCAGGAGAACCCGCTCTTGTTTCGTGTTCGTCATATTGCGATGCATGGTATGGACGTGCTCGGGTGGCACCGCCTTTCCCTCAGGTAGCCATTGCAGTCGTGTTGTAGCTGATTGAGGTCCGCATGTTACACGAGTCGAGTGTGAGGAGAACGCGCCGGTAGCCCGCATGCGTCGTAGTGTGCAAGTTGCAGTCCGTGTCTATCGACAGGTATGCATATGTGTTTGCGATTCGAACACGATACGCTTAGAGAGTTCCATGCAACGGAACAACCACAAGTCGGTGGTTGCTTCCTGCTGCGTGCCCATCGTTGAAGGTCGCAGCGATCCATGGATAGCCTTCCCACCCCCTGCGAAAATGAGGCGCCTTGTAGCTAAGAGCCTAGGTGTGTTGCAGGTGCTGCTGAGGCTAGGATCGACCGCACACACCAACCCTTGTCTTCATGTATGAAATGAAGTGGCCTCTCCGAAAGATGTACTCTCCTATTGCTGTCGCTGATGTTGGTCTACTCGAATACATGTCAACTCGGCAGTTCAGCAACACCAGACCAATAGCGGAGGGACAGGGGGAGAGAACAAGCGGAGGAGCGAGGTGAAGCGAGAATCGAAGACAAGCAGTAAGCATGAGATGGATGCACCCGAACCCTCGCAAGAGGTATGGCATGGAGATGGCCCGGTTCTTCATGTACGTCTCGGGTGAGCGCGCAGCGACCATTTGCAGGCAGTTTCGTCGAAGAGAATCGGTGTAAGCGCCAACCTGCCATATTTTATTTAGTACGTGTATTTCATCCGTTGCGGAGATGGGTTCATGTTTGCTACCCTGCCTCATATGATTGGTGCTGAAGATTCCCGCGTCGTCGAAGCCATCAAAGTATGGATACAGGCGCGTCAATACATCAAGTTTGCACTGGCCAAACTAGCAGCTCTCATTGCTCCGAGGCTTCGCTCTTCTTTGTAGGTTGTTCAGAAGCATCGGGACACCTTCTTGCCGCAGTGCGAATGCCCCTCTCATGCATGCTCACGATGGTATCATCAGGTTGACACTACTTGTGGAGATACCTCGAGTCTGCATAGGGTACATACACCTCACGATTCGTAAGATCAACATCCCCATGCCGTTATATGTCTAAAACCCTGACCCGGTCGTAATGTATCCTCTCCCACCCTCTTTCCCCGCACCATCTTCTTGTTCCGCATCCGCTCATGCGCATCCAGTGCCCGTGGTTGTGATCGCGATTTGCAGCGACCCGAAGAACATGAATACGTTGCTGCGAGGGGTGAGTATATATCACATCCGTGTCCGTTCAGTAGGTTCGACGCAATGCAGCGCGGGAAACGACTTACGGCATGAAGCTACCCTCGGCTTTGTTTTCGTTACTTGTTTGATTCGGTCCACGGGTTCTTCCCACACCCTCCCTCCATCCCTGCTTTTGGAACTGCTGTGCCCCGCCCGATGAAATTGGTGACTACGTCTGTCTCGGCAGACGGTGAGTGTGATTTTTTTCCCCAAGATTATCTCCACTCCTTGGCGAACTCATCCCTCCTCCCTGCTGTTTTCCCCGCGAACCCCCCCCCCCCCCCCCCCCCCCCCCCCCCCCCCCCCCCCCCCCCCCCCCCCCCCCCCCCCCC